GTGACCTCACTACTCTTAATTAACAACTATGAGCGAGGGCATGTATCGAAGAGAGGGAGAAGGTGAAGGAGAATTTGTGCCCCAAGAAATGTGGAAAACCAAAGATTTAGGAAAGTATTTGTGAGAAATGAAGAGCATTTGTGGAGAACTACAGTTTAGCTATTTCTAGAAGAAAGCAAGGACCACCAAACAGGCTAGGAAGCATGATGGTGCAAAGACAAGAACAGGCCTTGGGTACAGAATGCCGGCATGTAATCAGGGCAGCAGCTTTCTGTGCCTCTTTGCGTGTTGCTAGCATGCCTGCGAAGATCCTGCTGTCCTGGCCAGCCATCGTGGGCCCCTTAGGGTTGCTGGCTCTTTGCAGCCTGTCATTAGAGCAACTGCATTTGGAAGCCTCTTAACTGCACCAGAAGCAAATCTGACTGACGAGAGACTCTCCCTCCCCCCACTAAAAGGTAAAGGGCTATTAATGCACGAAGTTAATCTTCAAAGTATTAATTTATAATAATAATAATAATAATAATAATAATAATAATAATAATAATAATAATAACAGTACCACCAGGATTGTATTTGGGAGCTGCCTGGCAGACTTAATGACAGCAGATAAAAGGTGGGTGTTTCCAGAGCCGGGAAATGGCTTGATGGAGCTCAAAATCACTACAGCAGATCAAAAACTACTTGGGATATAGAGATTCAAAAATTATGAGATTCAGAAGCAATATTCTGGATGGGAATTCAAATAACGGGGAGAGTGTGAGTGACGAGGAAGAAGGAGAAATTAATTTAATTCCACTTGCTGATGTGCCTGCACGGAGCTATTTTTAGGTATAATCCAAACACTGCATATCTTCTCCATTTTGATTAGTAGAAAACTGGCAGAGAGCCAAGAGAATTAGTGTTTCTCAGCACACTGAGCCTGAAATGCACAAATAAAACTACATTATCTGTGCCAATGCATTTAATTTGAGCTACTCCTAAGTTCTATTTTTCCCCCAAGAGTACACAGTCCAGCTCAATTAGACACATGCTCAGAGCACACAGGTCCAGCTCAATTAGACACCTGTCACAGGTGGCAATAATACTCTAGATTGTTGTTCCCGGGACCCTTCCTCAGTAGCTGCGGCTAAGAACTTCACTCTCAGTGTTCCTCGGGCATGACAGGCACAGAATTTCTGCCTGGTGATTTTACAAAATGCCAGGGGAAGCCAGCAATCCAACACAATGTGAAACTTAAATGAGTTGGGGAAATGTGCTTAACAAGGAAAGGTTTCCCAATGGGCACTTAGAAGTTAATAATTCCAGTTCCAAGGAAAGCACAGAAGAGAAAAATGAACTCAATGGCCCAAGCCCAGAAATGGCAAGCTCCTGGACGGCCCGTCTCGCACACCGTCCATCGTCCACACAGAGCCTGGCAAGTTCTCACTACTCTGCAACTCCGAAACCTGGGGTGCCCTCTCATGTACCAAGCCACCGCAGCTTGACTGCATTCTGTCCACTGTTGGGTGTTATGGTGGCTGCTTTGGCAGCCTGGTGTGCACAGAAACAAGGGTATGACAGCTCCCTGCATGCACGCTGCCCTCCTGCCATCTCTGCAGCTCACACACAGGACTGGCCACCACCATGGGTTTCGAGGTTGGCAAACGAGCTTCCACCGATCCCACTGAGCACGGCTACCCTCCTCCACAACAACCCCAGGGGCTTTTCATGCGAATTCATGGCCACCAGCCTGCCTGTGAATCTCCCTTGGTGCCTGGTTGGGAGAACACAGAGGCTTCCACAAAAAAAAAAAAAAATTCTTTACTTACTTCCTGTCAGCCCATCTAAACAGGGCCCCTCAGCACAGTGGGCTAGCTCACTAAAGAGACTGCCCCCAGCAGCTAACTGTATGATTTGCTCTTAAAGTTGATGCATGATCAGAGCTGAGGGATGTGGGCCTGTGACCAGTCTGGGGTCAGAGTATGCTCTCAGGTAGACAGCATTAAACAGGCACGTCAGGGTTCTCCAGAGAAAACTAAAGCTGCCAAGTTTTAACCTTATGAACAAAAAAATCCCCCAACAAAATGCACACCTGGGGCGGGCTGAGGGCAGTGATATGGCTAAAACAAACTTTATTTCTTAGGGAACTTAGAGTGTCATTTTATCCTGAGATGGGCTTACATTTTCCAGAGTAAGTTTAGGTATTATCTTTTCCAGAACTTTAGCATCATGCTCTCCCCCTCCCTCCCTCCTTTCACTTCTCCCTTTTTGTCTTCCTTTCTCACCTTCTTTCTTTTTCTGGAGACAGAGGGTAAACTTCCAGGAGCCCTTGTTGCTGCTGTTCACCCAGCCCGCCTTCCACAAGCATTCTCAAAGGCCAGCACCATTAACGGTTCTCAGACCGTGCCGGAGCTTTCAGGTGTGCCTCGAGAGAGGATGATGAGTCCTGCCTTCGCCTGGAAGAAGCTAACTGTGGAGTCCTAGCCAAGACTCTTTTCATCTTTTCATCTGGGTTACATTATGGTCTAGTCGTGAAATGAAAATCTTGTTTAAACATATTAAGTAAACAGATTTGGGGAATGTACAATTAATCTCGGGATGGAATGTTACTATACGCTCTTCGGGAACTAATTTTAATAAAAAACACTCTGTTCATTGGGTGTTATAGCTCTGTGAAGAAGTTAAAGGAAAGCTAGGAAGTTAAATTTGCCTTTGCTGCCCACCCAGAACTTCTGTTGACAGGATCTAGGTAGTTACATAAGACAGATAATATTTACTTCGGAAGCCCTTTTATACATCTTTGTTAATCATATTTTTTTTTTCGTTCTAAGCAGCCACTGGAGAAATCTGAACCCGCCGTGATTTTCAACGCGGAAACAAAAATAAACTGGGAAGCCACTCACCACGTTTCAAGTGGGCGCCGTGGGCTGGTCACTCCTTGCTGCCTGTATTTCTGTGGGCAGTTGCTGCTGGGTTCCCTGGCTCCAACACTCTCTCTGGCTCTCTCTTGCAGAAGACACACACTCCCTTCTTCAGTCAGGTGAGGCAGATGGGCTCTTGAGGGTGCCTAAGTTGTCTGAATACCTTGAATCCGGCTGTGAAAATTTAGGGCAAATCTGTGGCTCTCAGTAGGTGAGTGCCTTATTTGGTCTAGAGGCATTTTGCTCTGTGATTGAGTCATGAGGAAACATTCAAAGTGCTGCCAGTCTGTGCTCTGAACGAGACAGACGCTCGGTCTTTTTACAGACACGCGGTGCATGACCTCGGTTGTGCGGCACGGGTGTTTTATTGCACACTGACCAATTCCTCACACAGTAGCTAGTTGCATCAGAGTATAAATACTTGGTCATACACAAGAGGAAATAGAATATACACATGAGTGCTCAATTTTACCGGCAGATTCACGTGGGCACGTGGACATTAAAAAATAATAAAAATATGTAAGATAATAATATTTATAATATGGATACAGTTACAGTACCATGATAAGAGTATAAAAAGTAATATTTCAATAAATCATTAACTCAATAACATTTAGACAAGAGAAACTGAGTTTGAATTTTATTTTAGGTTTTTAGGATCTGCCCACCTCCCCGTCCCATTAAAAATATTTAATTTTTTTGTGCAAGTTAACAACTTCTATGGACTTTACAATGCCTAACACTGCAAAGCGGCATTTTCAGCCACTGCCTTTTTGTCGCCTTTGTTTTTAGCCACATGTGCAATAATAATCTCAACTGTTTCCTTTCTTTCTTTTTTTTCCCCCTGTCCTATCTTCAGCTGACAGAGTCACACAGAGAGACTCAGCGCCTGGTCCTTCCAGCTAATATTGATACATAAATAAGCTGTTTAATATAAACAAGTCTTTCAGGCTTGCTGTGCAATGCGCACAGAGTGAGGTAGAGAACCCTTAGCAGGACACCGAGGCGCAGGGGACAGGGTCTGCCCTCCGGAAGAAAGCGAGAGTTGAACGGTTCTCGAAACCACATTTTGTGTCTGTTTCGCATCATCTTTTCCCTTTGCTTTAAGAACAGGAGACATCAGTGCTCCGGAATTAATATGCGATTTCTTTAGAAAGCAAAAGGAAACGCTTTCTGGCCAATTATCGCCGCCCCCACCCCCACCCCAAACCGGAGCTGCCTGCTTCGGTTCCTAGGTGTGGCACCGGAAGGCCAGGTGACAGGCTCCGTTCACCCCCTCCTCCCTGCCACTCGGGTCCTGGCAGAAAGTGTCAAAACCCACCTGGCGGGGAAATGCCTAAAGGTGGGTTAGGAATACACACAGACGGCCAAACCGCCGAGAGAAAGGAACCCAAGACAAAATCCGAAAGCCGCTCTCCGCCAGCTGCTCCCAAACTTTCCTTTCCGCGCAGCGGAGGGTCCGGGGCCTCTCCGCGCGGACGACTGAAAAGGTGTGTGGGTTCGCCTGCCGCGGGTCTGGAGTAAACAGATGCCCCTCCCCGGGGGCGCCCCGGCGGGGGCTCTCCGGCTCGGGGGACCCGCGTCCGGGCCTCGGGGCCGGGCAGCCTGGCCCGCTACACCTTGGACTCGGAGGAGAAGCCCCGGCGCCCCGGCTCGTCCAGGCTCGAGTCGCTGTCCGCGGCCGGCGCCCCGCCGT